AACTTCTCCAGACTGCCACGACTTCTCAAATACGATGGATAGTGGCTTAGCAACTTCATCCGCCGGTTCCTTCAGGACCCGCAGATGGATCTCATCAGGTCCCATGGACTTGTGCACCTTCAGGTGCCTTAGATGGTCTCGAACCTGATGTTCTCCCACAGTGCGTGGCTTTTCATTCTCCCAGTCCCCGCCTTTGCCTTCTGCAGCTTGGGCAGTGAGGCTCAAGCACTTGCCAGTGAAGACCGAGGAGAAAAAAAAAACAACAAAAAAAAACCCCCAAACAAACAAAAAAAACCCAAACAAACAAACAAAAAAAACCCACAAAAAACAAACAACAACCGCACACGCCTTCTCTTGGAGTGTTGACCTGAACAAGCTCTTGCTGATAGTTAAGCTTAAAAAATTAACCTTGTAGTATATAACATTTTATCCTAAAAACCCACAAAGTCTTTGAACCCAGTTTATGAGCCCAGTATGAGCATGCTTTTGCTCATCTAACTCATTATTCTTCCCATTTTTGCTGCTGAGGTGTAATCTGAAAATGAAAGGCAAGTATGATTTTTCTTCCATCCCAGATATTAATTTCAATGTGGCACACAAATACAAAACAGGAGGCCACAGTTCTTGCAAGTATGAAAGAACTTTCTCCTAAATGCTTCACAAAGCATTCCTATCAAGAGCTAAAAATCTCTGCAATTTTTTTACATGAGTAAGACTTTATCAGACTACGTTTGAAGTGTAATGAATTGATGCCAGTAATACCTTCTTCTGTTACCTCAAAATGCCTGCTTACATCTCTCTCTTCAGGTTTAATCAAACAGTACAATGTTTTGACAATTAAATGTAATCATCTTTTCTAGAAGCTTCACAAATTAAGCTTCAGATACAACCTCCCTTTTCAGATCTTCAGAAACGTCACCCACCCTCCAGGTGTCTTGAGAGAGAACTGCAAATGGCTATCAGGTAGTTTGATCCAGTTCTGTAAGGTCTCAGGGTGAATTTCATCAGGTGCAGCCAAATTGGACAACGCCCAATGATACAAAAGGAACCATGTTTTACCCTAAATTTGGGTAAATGTAACTTCAGCCAATACTGAGCAAACAGACATAATCACAGAATCATAGAATCATAGAATCACTGAGGTTGGAAAAGACCTCCAAGATCATCGAGTCCAACCGTCGACCCAACACCACCACCCACTAAACCATGTCCCTAAGTGCCTCATCTAATGTGGTAAAAAACAATAAAACGATCATATTTGTAGTTCTTTTCTCTGTTACACACAAAGATCCTGTTCTTGCTTTGTGTACGTTCACTCTGTGAAATTCAATCACAGACTACTGGGTAAAAAGTACCTCATTGAAAAAGTGCATATTTTATGCACATTTAATGCTTCCAAATGAGGCTAAAAAGGAAACATTGTCAGTCCAAACAACATTTAAGTTCTTTTATACCAGAAACTTCAAGAAAATACATTCTATAGCACCAGGATGCGGTGACAGTTAACACATTTGGTAAAACAGTGACAGCGTAATTTCCCCCACATTTTTGCACAACTGAATAAACATATAATTCAGTCAAGGAGATTTCCAAAGAGTGTCGAGTTCCAACAGTGGCTGAAGAAAGACCATATGACCAGTTTCAGGCTTGCCTTGAAGGAAGCATGAATGAGCATTCAGGGATTTCCCCCCCGCTCAGCCTTTTAGAAAATAACAGCAGTTGCTGTATGTGCTCCCTTATTCTAAATGAGACATCTAATATACTTGCCACTGATAGACACGATTGCCTCATGAGACGTACCCAGCACCAGCCACACTCATATGAGAATCAAAGAACAGGGACCTCTCCTACCTTTGTCTGTTCGGGCAATCAAAAGATCCAGAGCTTCCAACACATGCATCTGCTTTATTTGGAGAGTTTTATCAAATACTTGCACTGACGGTTGACCATCTAAAAAAGAAACACACATATTTATTAAAAATCCTGTTAAAATTTGCTAATCACTGGGTTTGACCTGTTTCTTTCTTGTAAAAAAAGCCTCATTTTTTTCTTACAAAGATGAGAAAACTTGCACAAAGCTGCTACGTATACCACAGCATCATAGCCAACACTTCCTCACGGGACAGCTTTATCATTGCCCTGCATCAGATTATGCAACTGAAGCCTAAAAGGGACCTTCCTTTGGAAAGTTTGAGAATTATCACCAAGAACTAACTTCATTCCCTCAGTCCCGCTGGCCTTATGTGGTACACAGAAGATAAGAGGTCAAACTAGCAATATCATTGCTATGGAAGAAGCAGGCTTTCATTGTCACATAAGCCTTTAGCTTCGTGCTCACTATCATCAAGGGCTAAGAAATCCAGACAAGCCATTTAAACACTCCTTGAGCTTGGATGTGACTTCATAAGTCTTTTCAGATGATCAAGAAAACAACATCTGAAATAACAAAACGTTCAGAAATCTGCATTAACATTGGCTCCCCAATACGGCTTGATTCTGGTGCAGAGAGAATTTTTGCAACTAGGTTACATAAATGTAATAAATTCACTTGGATTGGTAACTATCCCTGTAGGTGAAGACCTACCAACACCTGAACAGAGCTTATGAACACACGTTTTCAAGAAAATGGTCAGATACATAAAAATTGACACAAAAACACTGGATCATTTACTAACCGTCTACTAACAAGATGCCAGCATCTGTAGAAACCAGCAAGGACTGGCCCCAAGAATCTGCACAGACAACCTCATGAGGAAAATTACTGCAGAAAGATTGAGATTCCCAAGGCTATGAAATAACACAGGGGATACATATTAAGTACACTAAGAAATACAGATCATACAGACACAGAATGTGATGTACAATGGCAAGCAATAACACGTAAATGCTTTTGGCAGGATACATTTCCAAACAGTATATTTTTTGAATTTGAAATAATCAAAATTTAGTTAATTTTCTTGCAGAGGAAATACTCTCCGTATTAATTGGGTTTGGAGACTAATAAGTGTAAGACACATTTCTGAAACACTGGAATTAAAACACATGCAGCTGATACTCAGTGTAGCCCTGGAAATACTCAATATGTATTTTATTTTAAAAAAACCCTATAGACTTAAAATATATGTACCACCATGCATATGCACTTTGCTTACATTTTATGGCTCAGTTTGTGATGTTTAGTCACTAGCACATGGTACAGTTAAAACTGCCTTTCTGCCAAATTGTTCTTTCGTCACGTGTTCTCTGTACTTACCTCCCAGAGTCTGCCCCTCCTCCCCCAATTTAAATATTAGCTGAAGTCTGAAATTCTAGAAGCGCTTCTGAAGCTTCTGTATATAAAATGCATGCAGAAGAGTGTGGTTTGCATCTTTCACTCCCTAATGCCCTTGAACAAAACCTGGTACTACAGGAAATAAAGACACAACTGAATTTTGTTTTAAACTTGTTGCAGAAGTTAAAATAAAAGATGACTGCCTATGGAAAATGGGATTTTCATCAAATATTCTCAGGTATAAAAATATCCACACTTGCTTTAACTTGAGAAGTGCTTCAACTTGAAAAGTGCTTCTCAAAGGGCTCACCCTTTATTAATTTGATATTGGCTACAGAATCACTTTGACACTATACATTTCATCTTTGCTGCTACAGCATCTAATTACAAAAGTAAATAAACAGTATGGAGAACTGACATGCAATGCCATACTCAACAGCGTTTAATTTTTTCATAACTCTCCTCAGACAGATGAGTTCACTCACCTCCTTTTTACAAAAGCTTGTGGTTGCCAAGTTAGCTGTGGCATCCCCTTTCACAGTGGTTTTCAATTTCAATGCCTAATACAAACAGATGTTTTATTTAAGTTGAGTTTTTGTCAGCAATACCCAACCTAAAGACTATAAAGAAAGGACAATTTAGGACTACAAAGTAACTCCAGTTTGGAATTCCTATCACATTTTGAGTAATTAGGAAAGAAGTGGAATTCTGTATATCCTGAAGAAAGTCTGCAGGAATCACCAGAGGGCTGCTAGGAATCTTCTCAACCAAAATATATGTTGGTTGGGTTTTTTTTGGTTTTGTTTGTTTTTTAAATGGAAACTCAAAATCAGAAAATAATAACAGAGAAAAGCCTCCACCTCAAATCATAAAAGCTAGTCGTCTACACAATTCATTCTATAAGCTAGCTGGATAGAGGATCCTTTTATCAATTATACAAGCTGGCTTTTCACTTGCAAAACTTCATAACAAACCACTAAGTCAAACTATATATATATACACATTGCCAGGGGTGCCAAGGACACGCAGTCACAGTATCACAAATTCTTCAACTAGAAGTAACTAGAAATGAGCTGATTCTGAAAGGGCTAAGAACTCTAGAGAAATACTGTATAAACATAGTTTCAGTGAGATACACAATAAGTCTGTTTAAGGTATCCTATATACCTTCATTGCTAACCTTTACAGCAGCATTACTATAAAGTGATGACACATGGAATCGTCACAGCATTCTTTAAAGCAAAGTTTAGAAATTACCTAAACCAATTTTACTGCCCTAAAGTTTGCCTACCATCATGCATGGTCTCTGTGAAGTGGCAGTAATCAGCTGCATGCACCATTTGCACATTTGCATTAAGTACGGCTGTCAGCTTAGAAAAGACGCACAAAATACTTCATTGCATTAAGATTTTAATTTCATCCCACCAGTCAGCAGAGATCACATCGACAATAAATAAATTATTTAAATATACTGCTGAGCCAGTCATCAGTGAGTTTTGTTTACCATCTAAAAACTCAACTGACTGTAGCTAAGGGACAGACACATTCATAGAGTTTGGCAAGAACAATTAAGAGCTACTTGGAAGGCATGTTGAAATGTGTTCAAGCTTACAGTTTGTAACTTAGAGGAAAGTTCTTTTAGGGAAGGGAAAGATTTAAAAGTGAAAAGAACCTCCAAGAAAAACACAAACAAACGTATCTATGAATTTTTAACCCACATATTAGGTTTCCCTTTGATGAAGGCCATGCCAGGGATGGAAGTCTTGTTTAAGAAATGGGTCCTAACTAGTTTTGTTATGTGAGTATCTTATCAGCGTTTAACCTGGGGGAGGTGGAGGGGATTAAGCTTATACCTTCAATAACCATGTTTGTCTTTAACTTCTGTAAAGTAATTAGTAAACTTGGGGAATAAATCATTGGTTACTTCTGTCTGAATATTACAAACACATTCACTTTTTCTTTTTTTTTTATTTTCCTTTATTTTTTTTTCCACAGCTGCCGAGAGTGACTAGCTATTTCAAGGTGGTTGGGGAAAGGGTGAGCAAAGCACAGAGGAGTAGACTTTGCAGCCCTGCCAATGCAAGCTTTAACAGCCCTAAGATTCTTTTGCACCAGCTCTCAACCACCTGGCTCCATTCTCTACCTTTAACCAGATCTGGAACTTCTCAGACTCTTCCACTCTTTAGCTTGCTAACTCAGATGAAAAAATGGGAGGGAAGGGAGGAGGCTTGGGTTTTTTTGGTGGTGTGGTTTTTTTTGTTTGCTTTCTTTTTTTTTTTTTTTTTCCTGTTTTGGTATTCTTAAGATAAGAATACAAAGGTATTCTTAAGATAAGCAGCAGAACCATGTCACCAGTCCAGGATCAAGACAAGACAAGCAGGAAGGGACAGGGGAACTGATGAGCATAGACACTGTCTTTTTTTCTGCTGCAATGAACTGTCAGATCAAACCAGACTATCTAAATCATCAGGAAGTTTTACTCCTTACTGAATCAAAATGTCAATAAGCCCATAGAAGATTGGAGTCAGCATCTGGTATGTTCAAAGAGGTGTGGCAACCTCTGATTTAGCAGAAAGACTGTTGAAACTTCTTCCTGGCTAAAGTAGGGTAAATAATTTCTAAGAAATTCAATCTTAATAAAACATATAGAGGAAACTCATGAAAGACTATGTTTCTTCAAAGCACAGAAAAAGACAGAGCACTCTTCTGCTTGGAGGCAGAAAGCATCTGCTGCATGAAGTAGGGAAAGACCTTTTAGGTTTGATCCTAAGGTGTTATTTTTCCAACCTTCCTTTAGCTTATGTATTTTATACGTATTTGTAATTGTGTTGTGTACCTCAGGTGTTACAGATAAATACTTCTATTCATATTTTACCTTAACGTAGCTTAAACTAATGCAATACTACAAAACTATTTCTGACCACAGAGAACTGCATTAAGTCCTGACATAACTCTGCAAGCTAATCAAATCCTAACAAAAGGGGTGACGCAGTCTTTGTAAACATAGGTGCATACCTCCTAAATTGACCCTACCTGACCAAGCCGGACAAACTCTGCTTGCCGAGCTTCCTCTTTTTTCCGTGTTGATTTTGGGGACTCTGGTAACACATCACTGAAGGACCTTCTATTGAGCATGTTCTAAAACAGAAAACGTTTCTTTTTTAAACTGAACCAAAAGTTTTCATAATCTTTTAATCTGAGTTAACTTAACATGATATCATTTAAATTTTCTGTCTTTTTTTTGGTATTTTCCTGTAGTGATGAATCTAACTGTATAGGTTCTCAGAGAACAGAAACTGCAACTCTCCCAATCCTTGAGTGCTTTACTTTCCAATTTGTCATAGTTTATCACTGTCATGTTCTATACAATCATAACAAAGACCGCAGACATGAATATATGGACAAAAAAGTTTAAGCAGATATATTTGGCTAAGAGAAATAAACAGTAGGAAAAAAATAGCACCTCACTAATTTTAGAAGTATTGAACTTCTTTTTAGTTACTTAAGAATCACCTTAAGAATAAGTCTTCATCATCTAAAATGAAGTTATCTCATTGTTACCCAAGGGTAAAAATGATCCAAATTTACACATAATGGAATGAGTAAGTGCAGTTTTTATGGTGACAAGACTAACACCTGTATTTGCAGAGCCTAAATTTCCTATTCCCTTGCTGCAGGTAAGCTTATACAAAGTATGACATTGTTATGCTTCTCCTCACACCTGGTTTAAACAAATGCATGAAAAGTCCTATCCTGAAAGGACTGTCTGTCAACTTTCATATAACTGTAAAACAAGTTATATGACAATTGGTATTTAGCCTAGTGTATGCAATTCAGTGCTCATTAGGATTACAGACTTTTAAAGCAATGCAACATTCAACCTGCTAGTGAGAACAGGAAAGCACATGCGAGGGATGCAGGGACTTCTGACTTACATTTACCTTGTGTAGATCAGGCACCAGGTCTTGGTATAAAGAGCGGATCAGCATGTCCAGAGTGCGTTGACGTTTCTGAGAAAATGTTGGGGTTTCCAAGGTGGCTTTTTCCCCATTTATTACTAAAATATTATGGAAAAGAAGATACATTACCTAAATGAACTTTGACAATTTCCACTGACTCTAGTTTGCCTCTGTACAAAAATACCTGTTTTCCCCTTAGTAATTTAGAGTTGCCTCCTTTTTGCACGTTTTTTAGTGACTAATGATCCCTTAAGCTTAAAAGAGAAAAATTAGTAATAGAATTCTACAAGGCATCCCAATAGCCTCCTAACCAATTAAAAAAAATTAAGACAAACTGCTAATCAATTTAAGTACTAAACCAACTTAAATATGCAAAATAAGTTATTAGTCAAGTTCCTGTCAGGTAAGCATCTAATTGTAATCATCACAATCAGTTCTCAAAGATTTTCTCGCTAATTTAGAAGGGCAAGTAAGGGTCAATGAAAACTGGAACAGAATCGTTACAGAATTAAAAAGTTCTTGAAGGTGCTGAAAGGCACCTATGCGGCATGCATTCAGAAAAGCTTATATTTTCAGGTTTTCAGAGCTGCTAACCTAACACCTTCTACTACTAAATATCGAGCAGCATTATAAATTATTCCAGATCTCCAAGTCCTTTAAGAAAATGCAAAGCTAAATATGGCTGCACATTGTGCAAATGTAAAAGTCAGTTTGTATCTAGTAGCCTGAGAAGCATAATTGCATAGAAATTCAGTTTTTTGTTAATCTGACTGGAACAGTTTGATGGAACTGACATCCCACCTACGCTACAGATTTGGAAAAAAATTCTATACAGAACAGCAGCATACACAAGAAAATGCATTTACATTTTAAACATCACAGATTTCAATTTATTAAATCACTTATTAAAAAAGTGTTTCTAGCAAAAGAAAATCTGACTTACATTTCACTAACACAAAATCCCTGAATTCCTGGTGATTTGTAAACACAGGTGGGGATGGAAGGGGAGGCCCAAAGAGAGGAACACTTTCTTCTGAAAATATTTTCAGCCTATTGAAAGAACAATCTTTATCTATATTGAAAATCACATTCAAAACCCACCATTTTTATAGACACTATTCAAAACTGAAGAAAGAACTGGAAACTGTTATCTGGGTATGTCTTAGGTAAGAACTCCCATGGGTCTAACAAAAAACAATCACTTGTAATTATTCACTAGAGCAAAACCCTGCTTCCTTTACACAAACTAACACTAGGACACTAACAATTACAACAGAACTTTGCAGTTCTACTCATAGAGCAATGCTTTTAGTGGCACTAGCAAAATCTAGTCCTTTTCAAAAAAGCATAAAAGAACAGTTCTTCGCCTACAAAATATGTTCTCCTTATAGATTTCCACCTTACCTATGCATTCACCACACACATGGAATATTTGATTCTTTCTGAGTAACAATGGCTTACTACAGCTGAATCTGTAGCTCGGGAACAGCAAATTCATTTTCACTGAGGAAGAAAGAGTCAGAATGACCTCCATGACAGCTGGACCTGCTGAGTTCTTTTGATCCATAAGGAATCCGGCATAGCAAGAATGAATGGCAGGTACAAAACCCGTGCATACAACATGCTCAGCAAGCCATAGCTTCTTTAAGGTAAGTAATCATTCCTTGGTATTTCAGGTGACAGTCTGCACAATTTTCTTCACTGTAAGATAGCAGTCGGACAAAGATCTTCCAAGCAGCATGTGCAGCTGACACAGGTCACAGCAAGTTAAGTGGTAGAATTATAGATTCAACCTATCTCTACTGTTACACAAAGCAGTCAGAATTTGCTTGCTCAAAAAACCAGCAGTGATTGACTGGTATTGAGTCAAATGGATTCTAATGGATTCATCTGGTCTTTTTTCATGAAAGCTTAGAAACTGCACACACATCTGAAATGCAGTATTACAGTTGCATGAATATTGATCATTCTAATACCGGTTTCACAGATTCAAGACACAATTTCAGAGATGCCCTATGTCTATCTCCAGGTAAAAAATAATCATTTATCACTATGTAGGGTGTGAAATGTTCCTTGGCTGGAGCAGAATGAGTTAAGATGGGGAAAACCATAACAAAACAATAGACTTCTTGAGCGACATAAAATATAAAGTCATTCTAAGCAGAAGTTCAGTGTCAGACCTCACAGTGGCACTGCATATGAAACAAGGAAAATTTCTCTCAAAAGTCTAGAGTATCCCCTGTTTCTTTTGACTGAAATTTTGGCCACTTGGAAGATTGTCTTCACAAAAAAATAACAGAAGGAACAAGAGTCCCATGCGGGCCTAAGGTGAAGGGACAAAACGAAATGTAATTAGGCCAAGGTGAAATATACAATAATGTATTAAGCCTGTCATATAGTGTAAAAACACCCTGTGGTATGCAGTACGGGAATATGTGTTAAGACTGGCAGAATGAAGCAGCTAAGGAATAAGATGGACTGATCTAGTAAAAGCAGTCAGTTATTCAGAGCGAGAGAGACAAATTTATCTTATTTACTGCTACTCATTTTTTTCCCAAGTAAACAGCAATGTAAAAAGCATTTACCATGGCTAGCCCATCTACTGACTATTAGCTTACAATTAGGAAAACATTCACTTCTTAAAGGCTAATGAGGGATGTATGCCCAGGTTTCTGTCCCAAAACAAGAAGAAAAGAAGAAGTAACTGAGCTTTCACTGCTCATTGGAATCATTAACATGTTTTGTGCCTCTCACAAACTTGGAAATGCTGAAAAGCAGAATCTATGAGGACAATCAATTGGAAAAAAACCCAAACAAACAAGAAGGTGCTCACAAAATCTTAGAGCAAAATAAAACTACTCCTTTTTTAATTGCATTACAGACATTTTCCAAAACAAACCTTAGCTATAAATGTGGGGGGGAACCCACGTATGCAAACTGAAGTATCATGCTGTTGGATTCTTCTCTGGAGCTAGACTGAATGGCATGCTGGAGAAACATAGTAATGTAGATTTCTCTCATCTTATTGAATCAAGATTTAAGTTTCTTAGCTATATTGAAAAATAAAGTTATTTCTAGTGAAAAATTCTTTTGAGATATACTTGTCCATATATATCCCCCCTGTGGATATACATGCACCTCAAGCACCCAAGTTTGTAGACTTTCAAATCCTGCACCTATTTGGCGTACACATGCTTTGTCTCATCTCGTACTTCACATCAAGAGCAACAAGGATGGTATGAACCTTCTCCTCCAGCATGGCCCAAAATAAAGACTCCCAAGTATTAAGGGACTTGAAGAAAGAGCTAAGATAGGAGAAAGCACACATTTATCAGCAAGCTCTCTTGAAGAAATCTAGTTAATATTAATCCATTTTCTTCTCACTTTCATTCTTGTCCATTTCCACATTTGCAATGCAGATGATTTCAACTAACATTCATAAATGAGTAGGTGGAGTTGCAGTTGCACAAAAAGCACCAAACTCTTACTGCTAACAATCAAGTTTTGGAGCTAGGCAAGACGGCTTAGTCAGTCCTCTATCTTTGAGATACAAAACGTTCCAGTAACCTATATTGCAGCAAGAAGAACAGATTCTTAGATGACCGTGAAGATTGCTCAGCCTATGAAGTATAAAAAGCTTCCAAAGCAAGCCAGAATTTACTTGGTTGGAACCATGTGGTTGGATCTGAGCAGCGGCTTCTGAAACCATGGACCATGGCTGGTATCAGTGGTCTGTACTGTGCATTGAGGGAGAGACTAAAAAAGTGCCTGCTACACTTGTACTATATTTTTTAGCTGTCAAAGTGATATGGGTCATTCAAAAAAAAAAAAAAAAGCACTAGTGCCAGGTGATCAGTTCCAGGGATATTGCTGGTCTCCTTCACAATCTGCCTGAGTCCTCAGAGTTATGGAATTGTCAAGGAAGGAGGAAGCAAAACTGATCTACCTAAGGACCTTGTATTCCTGGAAGCCGTTTCCAAGTTCAGTTTCTTTCTTTCCACTACAAGCTAACTAGTAGTTCACCTCAAAGGAGCAGACCCAATGCCATCAACTTCAGCTTCGTCCTGCAAATGTGGGGTAGAGTAATTTACAAACAATTTTGCTAAATAATAACTAATGTCATGCAGGCTCACACAGCCATTAGAAATTTGCATTCAAAGCCTAACACATTGACTTCACCCTTCCATCTTGCAAAGTTTTTAGCTTTGAGTGTTGTAGACACACACACACATTCCAGTTTGAGGAATAATTTTAGTTTCACGCCCTGAAATTTCCTTTCTATTGCTGGATAAACCAAACATTTTGGGTTCCTAATATAAATTCTTCAGCCATGAGAGACTTCAGCATCTGAGCTGGCAGTGATTTCAAACCTAACCAATTCTCTCCTCAGGCACATATGCAAAAGAGAATCCAATTCTCCCATTTCTTTTTGACCTAGTCTAAGTAGTAAATGACTTAGCACACTTCCAATAGAAGAGGGATCGCTACAGACATTGCTAGTACTTTGTAAAGGAGAAATTACAGTGGCAAGTCTACATCCTATACTGAGAACTCCAGCACACACACTGTTAGCTAAAGGGTGGCTCTTTTATTTCTCTTTACTGCTTATTTGGTTCAAGCCCAAGGTGAATCCCTTCCATGGGCTCGGACAATGACATCCCACTGCCACTCTGCTTTTTCAAGACTGACAGATATCTCTGGCATCTCACCATTAATCTCAAGACAATAGTTGGGATTAACTATTTGGTTAAAGCCGCTTTGTTCATTAAAGCCTAGGCACGAGGCTGCAGAAATACTTGCTTTTCAGATTCTGGTGAGACCTAACAGACTCAGACTTGGAGAGCATATGCCTCCAAGTGTGAGGGTCCGAAGGCTAACTGAAAAACAAATGAAGAACACATTATTTACCAGCAAAATTCCACTAGGTTTTAAGTACATGATGTCCAGCTGTACAAGTACTCTATTAAGAGCCCTAAAAATGAACTGGTTTGCTTAGCTACAACCAAACCCAGACCTGTGAGGATCTGCAGTCCATGGCTATCACAACATCACATCTGATTAACTTTCATCATACATATAGTTCACTATGTCATTGATCTCACCAGGTCAGAATGTTCCAGGCATATCTTCCATCCTTTTGTTACATTTCATCTAAAAAGTAGTTTTGTTTTGCCCCCTCAGCTTATGCCTGTTCCAGAATTTCATTTTTCTGATGGTTAGAAAAATGCAACTTATTTATAGCCGGTTTACAGCCATCTGCATCCAGGTCCATATTGCTCTTCAATTTTGTAAGTTCATTTGGCTTCCTGGCATACAGACAGGTGTGGCATACAAACAAAATGTTTTCCCGTTATCTCTAAACCATCAGAAATTCAGTGTGAAGTTATTTGTTACAATCAGCACCTACCTGTAACTATCATTCTGCTTATTATATCTCACTAGGGCAAAAATATCTGCCATGAAGTTAAGGAAGTTAATCCAGTACTAATAAAGCTCGCATGTATTTTAACATACTTTTTTTTCCTGCAGCAGATCGCAGATTTAATAAAGGTAAAATATATTAATCAATGTAAATATGTAAAATATTCTAAGACTATACACATTTTACTATTTATAAAGGCGGTCCCATACAAAATTTTACTGTGTTTGATCAACAGTTTTAAAAATTGAGCTAGTACCACAAATACAGACTTCTTGCCGTTATATGAAGCATAAAACGTGCCATATAGTTCTGTGTGTGTTTGATAGACTTGTGATTAAAAATTCTTTAATTCTTTTAGTAGATAAAAAAAGTACAGATTCTTAACTTCACTTCCACCAAAACTTCCATTGAAGACAGGATTCCAATAAAATAATTTAGCTAACAGAATTATAAGAAAATAGAGAGGAGGATTTAAAGCGCAAGTACACAAAAATGTATTACCAGTCTTGATTCATAACTTTGGGCAAATCGGGGCGGGGGGTGTGGGAGGTGTGTGTCAGAGAAATCCTTATGGTTGCCTTGCAAAATATTTTTATGGAATCAATTAGAGGCTTCTTGCTTTGACAGATTTCCTTAACACCATCTCTAAGTTTTCAGTCCTTATAAACAGTGTCAAAGAAAGTGTAAGTCTGAATAACTTCATTGGCGGTATGGGTTTGTTCCAGATAGAATGAAGAGACCTTTCCCAGTAGCTGTGATCAGCACTATTGAAGACTGCACAATAAAAGAAGACTTACAATGGGATTCAATTATTTCAACATAAGCATCCAGTGCTATTTAAGATGCTTGAGAGTATGTTACCTAGTCTCCAGCTGCTATTCCAAAAGGAGCACAGATCTCCTGTAGGCCCTGAGTCCCATCTGCCAGACCTGTACAGACATTTCAGATATGTTGGGACATCTAAATTGGTGCTGCATGCCTTTATTTGGGTAACTCAGTCCTACCCCACAGATGACACATGGCAAACCCTTACAGCAGCTATCATTGCTGTATAGGACAGCACAGTGGGATATATGTATGCTAATTTTTCCCATTGTAGAAGTAACAAAAAAGGGGTGCTATAGTATGTAAGAAAGTGAGTACGAAGTGCTAGTACAGATTCAATGAGCTTTGAGATTTACCACATCTGACACAGATCAGTGTCAATCCCCAGTTTTCTTTCGGACACCTTTATCCCTGGCTACTGTCAAGTGAAAACATCAGGAAGGTGATATGACTCCATCAACCAGCTGTAGATTACTTAAAATGACCTAAATGATAACACGTCCTTATGGATTTAGGGCACATCTGCCCCTGCAACTCATTATGACACCAAGGACAGCTGAACCTCAAAATGTTTGTCAAAAATCAAAAAGAGTGGGGTGTATCAATTACATCACAAGTCCTCCTAACAGTAATAAGGGAAGAATTATTCATTTTTTACTAACACTGACACTCTGAAGAGCTACACTGACTTATTAACATTAGTTAATAAGTTAACTTATTAATTATTTCTTATTAACAATATTTAGGTTCCTCTGATATCTAAAGATTTTTTTTTTTTTTAAGTTGTGGAATTCTTTTTATTCTAGTCAATTCTTCCATTTTGAGTAAAAGAGGTTAATATATTAGAGCTTAAATCTAAAAAGTAAGACCAGCCATGGACGAAACTAGAAAGAAAGTTCTAACAACAGTTAGTCAGCCTGAGAAGTAGGTTTAGAAGTCATAAGCTTTGCGATCATTTTTAAAAACTCAGCAACAGAGCATGGATAGAAATAAGAGTTTTCTTCTTTCCATCCATTTTTCTTCATTCCATTCCATCTAGCCTAAGAGATGCCAGCTTAGGATCTATGGACCACTAGTGTGACCCCATGATAATCCCAAGCGATTGGCAGCTGGTTTTTGGAATCATATTGTCTTCACAATGTTTTCAACCAAAAGTTTGAAAAACACAGGCTGCCAAAAATCTGGAGAATATGTGGTTTATGGTCTGAAAGATTTGAGAAACACTGATCTAAAATACATAAATACCTAAAATAAACAGCATCTAAACATTAAAAGGCAATATTCAGTAGTTAATGCCAAATTAATTCATATCACTAACAGAAATATTTTTATGAATTTGTTTTATGAAAATGTATGAAATTTAATATGTGAAGTGACCCAAATAAATGTCTTCAATAAAAATACAATTTAAAAAGCACATTCTTCTTTGACCTTATCTTCTAAGTGGTTCAACATAAAAATTGTTTTATGAGGCAGACTTAGAGACTCCTAGTCAAGCAGTTGAAGGTAAAGAATGCAAGAATGCAACTGTCTTTCTAAAATAGTTTTCACTTCCATAAACAGCATGCAGGAAGGACTTAGGGTAGAAGTAAAAGTAACATTGATCTTTTTAAAAAAAAAGAAAAACCACTAGAAAATGTAAGGAAAAAGATACGTGTAAAATGAGAGCGAATCATGGATGGCTTGAATGCTGGAGAAGATTCTTCGCCTTCCTGAAATACGATAGTGACAATGTCATTTCCAATATGTCGCTTCCTTTCTACCTGGAAAAAAAAAAAAAGAAAAGAAAAAAAGGGAAAGGAAGGAGGGGGGGGAGGGGGAAGAGACAGACACAATGACTTAAAAGACATAAATAAATACCTTACCAATTCTGTGAGAGAATGGCAAAACAATATTCCTAAACTGCAAACAGAAAAATTATGGTCAATATGATTGAAGCCAATATAAAATTATTATTTAACTATAAGCAAGTAAACCTAGCAATACCACGGTGCACACACAAGGCAGCTGCTAAAACAGCAGCTATTGCATATTTTTAAGTTACCAAAGCACTCAATTTCCATAATTTCCATAATTAATATTCATAAATTGGGCAAGGAACACCTAGCATTCCAAAAACCCAAATCCACCACTTGAAATAAAAGGAAAAAAGCTCTGATGCTGAGTTATTCTTTAAAAAAATTAAATGTCCTGATTGGCCTCTGGTTTCTGCTGTGATCTTGTCATCAATCCAAGGCAAAAGCATGAGAAAACTGACACAGAAATAAAAAAAGGACAATAAAATTATATCATCTAATTATATTATTATAATAATACATAATATATAATTATTGCTTGAATAAGAAAATAGTAAAACAAGTAATTTGTGAGTAATTTTAGGTAAATCATTATGGATGTGTGATGTATAGGTAAATGTATGTGCTTATAAAGTATTTTTTCCAACATATAATACATAGAAAGGTTCAAGCAATGGATGACAGCACATTTGAACAAGTACCCAAGAACTCACTTAGTCCATCTATGAGAGGGCAACAGTAGTGCTTTAGAGCAAATGCACAAAGCTTGCCATTAACATGCTCACAAGGGGAATTTCTTTCAAGCTACACAAATTGGTACCCGAGTATGAGTTGTGTGTTACATATGTGAGTATTCTGACAATTCACACACAAGTCTAATTTCCAGCCTTCCTAAATTCTTTGAGGTAATGATAATTGCAGCAGTGAAGCTCTACAAGTCATCTGAATAACAGAATACTCAATCGCTTCTCAGTCAATCAATTTTGTCCTTCTTCGCAAGTGTCTTTTGTAGCTTAATAGAGATGATATGAGGTATTATCTTCCAACAAACATGAAATTTTCAGCATTAGGTATAATATTGAGGAAAAAAATACAGCAAAAGTCTTAAGACTTACATTTCTAAAATATTAACAGGCAAGAAATCCCTTAATTTCTTTTAAAGTTTTGGAGTTTGTGGTTTAATAAATAAGATTTAAATTTAAAAAAAAAAAAGAAAGAAAGAAAGAGAGAACCATGTACCTGCTGCTTGTTCTCTCTAGAATATGGTAGCATGGTTGAAACATGGAACATAATTTCATGCCCTTGAAAAACTGTATAGATGGAACAGGTTCCTGTTGTATCATCTGCAAGGGAAGACAACATTCTCAGCAGGAATATGTCCTTTAAGTTTTCTAAGGATCAAAAGATATTTCAGGTCCTTCTACCAAACCTCCTTTAGTCATCCTTTTTTCTGATCCTTTTTAGAAAATGTCCACGCCACATGTTTTACGTGGGTCCAAACCCAAGTTTGCAACCTAATCTGCATCTTCACACACTTAAAACCTATGACGTCCTTCACTTAGCCTCCTGAAATCACGCATGGTTCTTCAAGTCATGATGCCCTACTACCGTGAAGCAAGTAAAATGTCAGGTTATTCTTCGCCCCATTCCGACATAAAATGAAACCTTGAAAATAGAGGTCATATAAATACTTCTCTTCAACTGCATTCCATACCAGTGATTTAAGCTAACCTGACTTTTTCCTGGTGAAGCAGAGCATTTAGCATGCACATGAGGAAGTCTGTTTTGGGATTGTATTATTTCCACAATATATACAATATGCGTATACAATAAGCAAAAACATTTATATTGCAGCCCGCCCACTTTTTTGCTTCAGATGAGTTCTTACTTTTAGTGTCCAGTCCTCCTCTGTAGCCTGTCCAGCCTTTCAAAGTAATTGTGTCACCCAAGAGATGCAAAAATCTTTGAAAGCTTTCACTTCCAGTTTCTACACATAGAAGGGAGAAACGTTACAACAGAAAAGCACATGTAGTAACAGAACACCTATAAAAAATAATCAAAATACAGGAACTGGTCCTGCTCCCAGGACACGAGGACCAAAAGTTTCAGCTGAATTAGTTTCTCCTCACGTCCTCCAAGCCTTCTACCTCTACAGAAACAGCATCCCAGCCTTGCAGAATAGGCATCATCATGTAACATTAAACAGTGACTTCTTTTACTAACTCCAAGACACTGTTGAAGTGCATAGAAGAACGTGATCATACTACAAAAACCCAAGAGTGAAAGAACTAGAAACAGTGACTTTTTGCAGGTAACATGAATCGCCTCCTTCAGCTGCTTCCTTTTTCTACATCTTATGTTGTATAATCTATTTCTAGAAAAGAAATTTCAGTATCTTCCAAGTTATAATACTAGGTTTCCTACAGCAACCTTTTATAGAAATAGAAGATTCTAGGCTACAATTTTTCACCCAACACGAACATGAAAACCTAACAAAACTACTGTTCACATAACGATTACCTCCCTTCCGGCTTCCACGTGTAGGCACCATCCTGCATTTTTTTATTCGGATGAATAAAACAGTTAAGAAAAAGGTGAAAAACTCACCATTGCTGAACATTTCATCATCTGTAAGCTGCCCATCCTTAGCATAAAGGACTCCAAATTTAAAATTCACAGATCCCTGAGAAATAAAACCAGATATTATATGATAAACAGGCAATCAAAGAAAAGACTTAAAATAATATTTTCTCTAAGGACTTTTATATATGTACTTTTGTATACATCCTACACATGGGAATATACATTTCATACCAACTCCATTACATGCTCAAGTAGTGGATACCTAATAATTTACCTTTGATCATAGATTATGAATTTTGTGATATACTAAGTTGGTGATCTATTAATATGATATATTAAGTTGGTGCTTAAAATTATTCTTGATCTCATATGTTGCCAAGAAATACATTTTTAACTGCAATAAGCAATTCATTTCTAAGTTGTCACAAGCATGTCAGTGCAAATATTCCAAATACAAAGCCGTATTTGTTGAGCAGGTCTGTGAGCTAGGAGTGATAAGTTTACACTTACCTCTTGCTCTTCAAGAACCAATAAATCCTGTAAACAAAACAGTATCTTTAGCACACTGGTATTAAAGACAACACAAATAAAACTGTAACATCCTTGTATATTTAAGTTTTGTTTTGAAGTGGCCAGCTCAACTGATAAAGACAGTTTACTTTGTAGTATCATGTAACCCTACTCATCATTATTATCCTGCTACTGAAAGAAACAAACTAGTAGCGTTTATACTTAATGACTTATTTTTCCAGAAAATAATAAAGAAAAACAACCAAGTAAACAAAGAAGTCACCTCCTACCTTTTGTATCTCGGGATGAAAAATTTCCCTTGGGCTCTTCTCAAATTTGTCAAGACTCATAGCACTGAAATGCAAATTAAATACTCGTTCATAGAAGGGCAACTATACATTTCAACATTAAACCACTAACTGGTTGCAGTTAGAACTGGTTATAAAAGGAATTGTTCAAAGAGACTCTCTTACATGGAAAGTTTTGTGGAATAGCCATTTTTTTCCCACAATACTAACCTCCGACACTTCTTAAACTTCTTTTGGATTTTAAAAACAGAGATTAGTAAGACACTGCATAGAGATCAGGTTTAAATTTACTGTATTTACTTATAAAGCACAGAACTTTATTCCATCACCCTTCATTTTGGCTTTATACATAATCATTGTGAGCATTTTAAGAGGACCCAATAACCTATCCTATTTTGTAAGCTTTTCTGCTCTCTCTTCTAAAATAATTCAAGGCAAGTCAACTGAAAAATGTACAGTTCAGCATCAAA